ACTCTCTAAATGCGAAAGATTTCTAGGTTCGAAAATGGAATTTAATTTTTAGATTTTCAGCGGAATAACAATTTTATCTGTTGATTCAGTTTTCTCATGTTGGGTTAATGTTATCAAGAAAGCTCCGGTCATAAATTGTTCTAAAAATTCAAGGAACTTAAAAGGCATCTAATTTTTTCTTTGTAATTCGAAAGTTGAGATTTTTTCAAGAAAGTCAGTGTTTTTTATGTTTACTTGCGTTCATTACTCTTTTCCAATCTTTGATTGGCTATGTTTTCTGTTACTCGCTTTTTGTAATGTTGCTTTTGTTGTTTGATTTACTCTTACAATATGTCATTTACTTACCTTGTCAGCGTATTTCTTCGTTTTCTTTGTTTCGCTAAAAAATTCCTCGGCCCAAATTTTTTTGGTCTATTTTTCATCGGCCCAACGACCTCATTTTGGGTTGGTACAATTTTGATACTCCCCTCCGCACTTCTCAATTTGGTTTTATGTTGACCAATCGGTTTGTTGAATTTTAATTTTTTTCATCCCCAGAAACATCTACTAATTTTCAAAAAAATGGATATCAATTGAAAGACAGTCTACGTCACTGTGTGACTGCATACTTCCCTAGTCTCTTTTACTCCAGCCCTCTGTCTACAGCCTTCGAAAAAATCTGGGTGAGTATTAGACCCATATTTTTTTCTCAATTTTTTTATTGTTTTTTCGTTTTCTCTAAAACTAAACCTCTCAATTTTTTGATGTCAATAAATAGAACAGTTTCGGAAATTTCTCCGGCTTGAAGCGACTACGACCCAGTTGTTTTTACACATAAAGTTTTGGCCTTCGGAATACTCATTTTTTTTTTATTTTTGACCGTTTTTATTAATTTTTGAGTTAATTGACAACTAATCTCTCAAATCTGACGTGGAATCATAAAGGGTAGTGGTAAGCTCCCCTGCATTAGCCGCCACTATCCTATTTTTTTGCGCAAAATTTATTGCCCTTGGAAACGTTATCGCCCTGGGAAATTTTTTGATTTTTGACGCTTTTTTTGAAAACTTTCCGTAGAGAAACAGTCCTGCCGTATATGAGATTTTAGGTTCAATTCTAAGAAGAAGTTGTGGAAACTCATTTGCTTTAAAGACTTAGCCCATATTTTTGACACCAAATGTAATGGTCCGAGAAAAAGTCAAAATTTTGGTTTTTTCTACCGTTTTTTAAAGTTTTTGACTCTAATCTGACCTCCCAAATCTGATTTTTTGGTTTCAATCGAGGTTGCTTGTTGAGTGAATTCAATCTCCATAAGCTTCCACGCCCTTTTTTCACATGAAAGCTATGATTCTCGGAAATGTTATATTTTTGATTTGTTGACTATTTTTGACTTTTCCCCTCAATTATCCTGTCAGATCTAATATCATAGGTTTAATCGAAACAACTGGTTTTTGAAAGCCTACCTTTACAATTAGCTGTGCCCAGTTTAAAAACGTTGTGGCCTTCAAACAATTCATAGTTTTGAAACTAGTTTTTCTTGAAACTTATTGACTTTACGCGAAAAATGCCGGATTAATTTTAAGGTTGTGTTCAATCGAAAAGCCCGGTTTTGAGTATCTTCTCTCCTTAAGCAGCCAGAACCTGCTTTAAGCAGTTAAAGTTATGGATTTTAGAAAGTCTTTTAACCGTAACTTAGAATTTTTGAACGTTTTAAGAAACTTCGAATTTTCCTAAAATTTACACAATCATAACTGAGATGAAAAAACTAATTAAAAGAACCGACTGTGATAATGGTTCCTGCAGAAGCGGCGAATCCTTAGTTTTTTAAAGTAGATTGTTATCTGCTTGGAAAATTTGATTGTCTCAAAGTTTTTACTCATTTAATTTAGTAGAGAAACAACTACGGTTTTGGGCAAAATCAAGTTTTTGAAATTACATTTTTCGTGCCGCGCCATTATAGGAAAATCATTCAATATCAAACACCTAAATCCAGCTTTAGTTGGGCTCTAGTTTTTTTTGAGAAATACGAATTTTTGATTTTTATTTGTTTGTGTTGTATCGCAAGTGGCGCGAAGCTCCGATTCGCCTCTGTGTTTTACGTTTCCATGACATTCTACCCTATTCCAATCTACCCTATACTATTCTATCCTACATACCAATCTACCCTATACTAATCTACCCTATACCATTCTTCCCTATAATTAAAGCAATGGAAACTTACCCCATCCTCTTGAAGAATCCGAAACAGTATATTTCCGAACAAATCAAAGAACCATTAATTGTGATCAAAGAATAATTGACGCATGTGAACAAAATATCAAAGCAACGTAAAATTTGCTTATTCAAAATGGGAATGAGTTCAAAGCATGAACGAACAGAAGTTTTTATCCAATTTTGCTATAGAAATGCGTTGCGGCTATTTCTTAAACAAACAAAAGTCATATCACATCAAGTCGACATAGCTTAGCGGATAATGCATGTGTTTTAAAATCAAAAGATCTGATCGTAAAAGGAGGGGTAGACCCCCCAGTACCAGGCCATGGCGGTACTGGGGGCGGGTGAGGGAGAAGGTAAATTTCTTTTGATATTGGCCTCCATTACCCAAAATATCAGCCCTCTACGGCCACGGGAACCTCAAAAAGTGGATTCATAAAGTTTGATAAAATAAGCAGAGTTAGGAATGACTTAATTGCGCCGGAGAATACAAATATGTTAAAATAGAATCTTTGTTAAAATTGTTGCAATTGTTTTTCACTTTCTCATTCAATTCCCTGTACTTATTGCGACTGGGGTTGCTGTTTCCCCCCATTGCTTTCAATTTATTGAGTTTTTGATTGGCAGCATCCAATTTGATTCATTTCAGAAAGGTGTGAACGGATGGGTAGTTTCCTTTAAAGAGAGTTGCAACGCCAAGATACCAGCCTTCTACAGCATTTGTTCTCCTTATTAACCCAGCAGCTGCTTCTTCGGAATGATTCCGAAGTTTTACTGGAAAGAGAGGGTCGCGAGAATTCCTTCCGATGGTTTCGCCTTTGATGTAGGTGCGCTGGAAGTAAGAGGCTACTCGTCAATTTTTTCAGTGATGTTGTCGTCGAGCTCAAATTTGTCAGAAACTTTTTCGATTTCCTCAATAACCAAGTCAAAAGCAGCATTGACCATTTCTGGTACAAAACTTAGAGCTGGAATTAAGCGCAACGACAAATTTAGATAGTGATTAGTTTCGTACAGTCGCTTTAGGCCCACTTCGTTTATTTTCCGGTTGAACGCTTGACTTAAATGAAAATAACAGTCTTTCAGCAACGCTCCGGTATGATGACTAGCGAAAGCGTTTAGTGCCGCACGTTCAAAATTGAGGAGAATGCGGTGAGGCTCGGTGTTTTCGGTGATGGCTGATAATCCCTTCAGTAGCTTTTTGTAAGTGTGCTCTGTTTTGTTTTGCTACTGTGCATCAATGCGGGGGGTGGAGGGTAAAATCCAGCGAGTTGAATGTGGATGCTGTAAAGTTGATTAAATTGAATAGGACAAACTTTGAACGTTCCATCGCATAGCCACTTATCTCGATGCAATATCAAGCTCTAGATATTGTCGCGATCTCCAAAAATCAACACCCTTTCTGGATTGTCAATGCCGCTATCGAAGACGCAAAAATCCTCGTGTTGCTTTGGTACTTCAAAATGTCTGTCGACAATGGGTGGCAATGTGGGTCTCTCATTTACCTTCTGTCGATTGAGGGCCCGATTAATCGCCAATCGGCAAGGAAGAGCTAATTGGACGGCTTTTTCTTCCGACACAGACTGCAGGCCGTTTGCTATAATTATGCTATTGACTGGTACTTGCTGCATTTTTGTGTCCTGTTTCATTTTGTTTACGAGAAGCCTTGCATCTGAGCGACCAGGAAATATTTCGTGCGTGTGTTCATTTCTACAGGAAATAAGATCGTTTTCTCGGGTTATTGCTGTCGTTTTGCATTTATGGGACCCCCATCTTGAACACTTCCAGTCAAAGTTTCCATTCTTTGTTTCCTGTGTTTTTGTAAACTCGTGGCCACCGATTAAAAGCGTTCTCCGATTCTGTTGAGATTAACCCCAAAAAATTTGACTCATTTTGGTAATTGTTATTCCAAGGAAAGTTGATATAATGACGTAGTTTTGGTCTCATTTTTCTAGGTGGTTTTGAAAATTGGGTATTAAATTCTGTTAATTGAGACAATTTTCAGTTTTTGAGGCTTAAATTGCGTTTTTGTCTTTAGAACAATATTCCTAATTGAAAGACTCAAATTGAGTCCAAAAATTTAGACTCAAATGAATTAACACGTGCTGTTGTCTTTCCGATTCTAATTAGGACTTTTAAAGATTACATTAATTATGCGCCAAATCGACGCAAATTAAACTGGTATATAAATTAAACTGGTACTATAGATTAGTATAGGGTAGATTAGTATAGGGTAGATTGGTATAGGGTAGATTGGTATCGGTTAGATTGGTATGTAGGGTATAATGGCATAGGGTAGAATGGTATAGGGTAGTTTGGAATAGCTAGATTGTCCTGCCACCGTGTTATACCTTTATGTTCTTGAAAAAAAAGTATAATGGATCATTCTCCTACATAACTGCTGTTTCGATGTTTTTTGGTACTATCACAGCAACACGCTATCATTGTTTCAAATTAATTTGATTTTTTTTTATTTTATCAATTAGAAAACCAGCCGCTTTTCCGACCATTGCGGTATCCATTTTTTCAACTTTCATTTCGATCTTGCTTGCTAAGTTAAAAACCGAAGGGGCTAAGATTTAGGTTAATCTTCTCAAAAGAAATAATTATATAACTGGCTGTAAAACGTGTGCTGGTTTTGTTGTTTGCCAGTTTTGTCAGTTCTAGGCTAAATTTTTTCTCAGCTGAATTATTTTTTTGAGCTAATCTTCGAATTGTTTTGCCAATAATTGACACCCTATCTTATTGTGCCAACATTATCAACGTTAATTAATTTCGTCATTGCTTGTAGTATTTTCAATATGTTTTCACAGGTACGACATACGTGTTGTCTCATCAGGCAGAACCAGACAAAGGCAGACTGTTGGTGTTCGAATGGAAGGAGAGCAAGCTGAACCTCATCGCTGAAAAAGAAATAAAAGGTATCTGAAAAATTTCGGTGTTAGAAATCCACAAATGCAATTCAGATTTGACGGCAAAGATCGTTAAATATAATTATAAGTACTTAAAAGTGATCTTTTCATTATTAAAAACAATTCTGTTGTTTTATTTGAGATATCTTTTGGAATCAAATTTTGCATTCTCAAATTATAGTGATGGCAATTAAGATGGTCCAAAAATGGTAAACATAAATGAAACAGCGAATCGAAATTTTGAGATTCTTTTTTGTTACCAGGAAAATGATTGTTTTCTTAGGGTGTCCATACAGTATCCAGTTATTTAACGGGAAGATCCTGTGTGCTGTGAACCACATGGTTGAACTTTACGAGTGGGCCACAGACAAGGAACTACGACTGGACTGCTGTCACTATGGCAACATAATCGCTCTCTTCCTCAAAACCAAAGGAGATTTCGTTGTTGTTGGAGATATCATGAAGTCAGTGTCTCTTCTGCTATACAAACCGCAGGAATCCAGTTTCGAAGAGATCGCCAAGGACTACACGCCTCTGTGGACAACGGCTTGTGAAATCCTTGACGATGATACATTTTTAGTCGGAGAAAACAACTTTAACATTTACACTGTCACCAAAGACTCTGCGGCTACGACTGACGAAGAGAGAAGAAAACTGACGATCACAGGAAGATTTCATATTAATGATTTCATAAACGTGTTTCGACATGGCTCGCTGGTTATGAATAATCCAAATGAGTCAGTTATAAATTACCAGCCCTCTATTCTGTTCGGAACTGTGAGTGGGGCTATTGGCTTAATTGTTCAACTGCCTCCTAAGCTGTTTTTATTTTTGGCTGAATTGCAGGAGAAAATTGTAGCTACGATTAACAGTGTCGGCAAAATCAGGTCAGTTCAAAATTAATCCTGTTTTATTCAATTAAATGCTGGCTTATGCATTTCATTTTTGGTCTGTTTCCATCTTTTAGTTGCTTTCAGTAAACCATTTGTTTTGTTTTATCTCCGCTGGCTTATCGCAAAACTTGTTGCTTTTAAAAAGTCTGTTGCTTTTAGTAAACCATTTGTTTTATTACCTCCGCTGGCTTATCGCAAAACTTCAGAGAACTTGAGGCAGACAGTTTTGAAAAATTCATATTCTAAGATATCTGGTTACCGTAATTTTTCTTCAAGGGAGCTGGGCGAAGCTACGTTATTTATTAAGGAATAATATCGTGAAGATGATGCGAAGCTAAGTTCTTTAATAAGCGAAGCTCAGTTCATTATCAAGGAATGATTATACATCGGAACAGTAATGTGGTTTGTTGCAAATGAAAAAATGTTGTAGTTTCGTTCAAACAATCTGATGGATGGAGTACGTACAAGTACAAAACCATTTGAGATTATTGTTCCGACCATTGAAAATGGGGAGGAACTTTATATGCGGGTGTGTTTTAGTTTTTTCTTTTGTTTTCCACGCAAAATCAGGTACCACAAATAATCATCGGACTGGGTTGAGTGCTATGTCATATTAACGCTCAAAAAGTTTCCCAGTGTCGAGACAAAATCGATTTGAAATTTTCGATTTTTCGCTTTATTTCGAGCCAATAAAGTGAGCGAGTAGTCGTTGTTTTAATTGTTTACAAGCCTACAATAGCTTATTTTAGAGCACAAAAACTTAGTTTTAGAAGACTTTAGCTTATTTTGAGTATTTTTGGGCCTATTCGGAATCAAAATTCAAAAAACTGCCTGAAAACTTGAAAAAAATTTTCTTTGATTTTTTTTCGTTTTTATAGTAATTTTTCGACAAAAATTGTTATTCAATTTGGTGCTTTTATTCTGGTTATCGAATATAACTAGCCACAGTTTTTTTTGTTCAGCTCTTTTTTTATCACACCACGCCAAAAAAACGGCAATAATTTGGAAAAAAGACTGGTAAAAACTTTCTGTGCTACTTGCACAGTAACCGGCTATCTTTGTTGCGTTCAGATTTAGTTGACATTTTCTGCTATTTTAAAGACATCGACATTAAAATTGCCAAAAATTAGTTTTGGAGTTGTGCGTGGTGAAAGGTGCTTTCAATCTGTCTAAACTTGAAATAAAATTTGTTTTTTTTTATATATCCAGGAGGGGCATGATTGACAAAAGCATTAAATGTAGTCAGCTAGAAGTGCTGGAGCTTCCGATACTCATAGTGTAATTTTTTTTCAGGATTTATGCGTTGTTACTGCAGTTGTACTTTGGACCTCCATGCTTGAAACTACGAAGAAGGTATCGAGATCAAAACTGGTCAGAACCTGTTGTTTTTGCATGTTCTGCTATTTTTCGACTTGAAAAAAATTGGGCCAGGTGTTGGTTTTATTTTTCGTAAGATTTTTTTTTCGAATCAGGCATATTTCACTATAGTGTGAATTTTTTTTTATTTATTTTTGTAATAATGCAGATAATGGAAATTGCTGGTTTTTTTTCTCAGCAAAACGATGTATAATTTAAGGACTTGATTTTGAGTTTTGTGTTTTTCTTTTATTCTTCTCTCGGACACCAGCCAAAAAGAAATGAACGGAAGCGTTTTAAAAGTCGATGAACGTATTTCAGATTCTTAAATAGGTCGCGATTTTGTTTTCGTTTTTTTGCAGGTTTTTTCGGGAAAAGTCTTAGTTTGTTCAGGCTCAAATTTACTTTTTCACTTCGTTTGACTTCTGATTTTTTTTCAAGTTCAGTTCATGTCCTTTGTCAAAAAGAAGGCAAAGTCCACTATCGATGAGCGAATGTTAAAAGGTCTCGAAAAACGTGATCGACTTCTAGTTTCGAAAATGGAATTGATTTTTCAGATTTCCCAGCGAAGTAAAAAAAAAACGATTGATCCAGTTTTCTCAAATTTGGTTACTTTTATCGAAAATGTTTTTCATCAATTTTTTTTAGAAATTCAAAGAATTTTTGAAGAGCTCGTCTTTTTTTTTGGAATTTGACTGTTGAGATTTAAAAAAAAACAATTCAGATGTTTTCTGTTTAATTGTTTTCATTGACTTTTTTCCAACTGCCTGTCGGCTATGTTCTAAAGTTTTTACTTTGTTCAAAATCAAAATTTTGATATCATCTAATTGCATATTTTTTATTAACCCTGATGTTTCGTTGTTTACCCTTGCGATAGCAAGGATATTGCAATCGGCTACTAGACTTTTTTCCCGTAAATTACTTGCGGCAAAGAATGGCCAAAATTAGAAATGGTAAATTTAGGTTCAGCTCTTGATTAATTCTAATTTGTTTGTGTCTTCGGCACTTTTGGTCTGGAGTTAACGATTACGCCTAGGACGGCAAAAGTCCTAGAATCGAATCTGACAGGACCTTGTTCCGTTTTTCAAAAAAAATTGTCGGCTCATTATTTTTCTGTTGATATATTGTTGGCTTAGTAATGTACAATTGCTTTTTTAAAATTTTTTTTTCTTCTTTATAGTTTTGACTTAATTATTTCCGCCTAATTTTTTTTGGCTCAGTGACCTACTTTTGATTCGTGTCTTGGAAAACAAAATTTTTATGTCCACCTCTGGATCACACAAAATGCTAAAAATCTAAATAGAATTTCTAGTTCGTTTTTCCTGACAACAATTTTTTTTGTTTTTTTTTCTGTTCCTTATTTTTCGGCTCGAAAGGTTTTGGCCTATATTATATCGGCTTAATGACATATTGTGTTTTTCGACGCGCGAAAAAAATGTGTTTATGTGTCTGTTGATTTTTTTCGCCTTAAAGGATTGTTGCCAAGGAGTTTTTCGGCTTTGTTGCCGTTTGTAAGTTTTTTTCCGATGCTTATTTAACATTCCATTGTCTTGGCATGTGTTTGCCATATTTGATAGATTTAGTTTTTTGACATTTTCGAATTTTTTCGATTTTTTTTTCTGACTTAGCGGCTTTCTTGTTTTGTATCGCTAGTGGTGCGAAGCTCAGCTTCGCCTCTGTGTTACAAAATACGCCTCCGCCTTTTTTGATGCGCTTTTGTGAGTTATTGATCTGTTAGCTCGAGCGTGTATTCTTTGATCGTGATTGAAAGGTATCATCGTGCTTTCTTAGATTCTGCACCAAAACAAGAATAGCGTATTTGATAAGGTCTTTGAGGTTGCGCTTCAGTTTGCGTATTATATCGCAAACAATGGGCGCTGAAAAAGTTTTAATTGCATTGCTTATTCCGCTAGCAATATTATCGTCATGGTTTTTCTACGACCAATAGGTAGAGCGTGGTCCGAGGGCTTTTAGTGTCATGTCGGATCACGATATCGGAGTTTATGGTAACGATGATCCGGAATCTTTGTTGTGTCTAGGCTTTGCATTCATTTTCCCTTTCAGAAACTATTCAATGGTTTTATCGCAACAATAAGGCTTAACCTGCTGACGTTTAAACAATTTGTTTCAGCCATTCCACGTGGCGCGATTTTTCGCATGAGTTTGGAAGTGAGCCAGCGCAAAGCTTCATTGACGGAGACATTATCGAAATATTCCTGGACATGACAGTGGCCGACAGAGAACGGGTCCTCAAGGGACTCCAGTTCAATTCCAGTTTCCTCACCCAGAGACAGGATCTGAACGTCGACAGCACCGGAGATGATTTAATGAATGATTCAGGTCTTATTGCAACTGAGGCTCCCTCGAAGGCAGCTCTGAATTCAACCGGGCCCAAAGTGTGCGTAGATGAAGTGGTGAAGTTGATTGAAGATCTAGCTCGATTGCATTGATTGCAATCGCCATTCTTACTTTTGTTAAATCCTTGTTCAGAATCCTTGTTTCAAGTTTGTGTCAGGAGAATGATAAGATGTGCTAATGTTATCTCAATAAAACTAGCTGTATTTGAGTTTTAATTTTTTTATGTTTCAATTAGAAGGATGAACTTGATTTTATTTATAAGAAAAAGTTTTCATTAACTTTTAAATTGGAATGTACATAGCGAAGAAACTCATACATATCGCATTTGTTTTTAGGGTTCTTGATTTTTACCGGTTCGACTTTCAGGTTTTTCAAGTTGAATTTAAATTCATTTGCCACAATGAAAGCAAATTACGCTCTCGATTGAAAATATTTGAAATTCCCAGTTATTAAGAGTCGATGAACGTAGATTAGACTCTTATATCGGTCGTGATTTTTTTGCAGTAAAATGTTAGTTCAGGCTCAAATTTATTCTTGATCTTTTGTTCTAGAATCAAATTTTGATCTCTTTTTTAAGTTCAGTTCATTCCCTCTGTTAAGGCAATCTCAACTATCCACTGTAAAAACAAGTCAATTTTTTTGTTTTCTTGCTTTCATTGGCTCTTGTCTATGTTTTTGAATTGAGTGGTTAGTTTTATCAAAATGTTTCATTCATTGCTTCAAGGTTCAGTTGTTTTTCATTACCGATTTGAAATACACATCACGGGCGATTCCAGCAACTTATCGTGTCGGAGATTATACCGCTGCTAATTTTCCGCTATCTCCAGTGCTAGAACTTTTGTCACTCAAAGAAAGCTTGTAGGTGATCGAGTATTGAAGCGCTTCAATTGCTTTTCAAATTCTGATAAAAATTCTTTTTTTTTGCTCAAAAATTTTGAATGTTTGGACTTAATTAGTGTGCCGCCAAGTGTGTTGACAATCAGTTCGCCACGTGTGGCGCGGAACGAGAAAAAGTCTTTCTAAATTTGATTTAAAAATTTTTTATTTTCGTTTTTATTTCCAAACATGCTATGGTTTGATTTCAGCTTATCGGTCCGTCATATTTTATCTGGCTTAGCTTTCGGTGCAATTTTTTATATGAGAAAAAAGTTTCAACTTATTCATGGATTTTTTTGTAAAGCTTACATAAATTTCTGTTTTTATCAAATAAGTTGTTGAAATGTTTTTTTTTCTAATTTATGCCAAATCTTTTAGAAAATACTCTAATGATAAGAAGAATAAAAGTAAGAAAAAGGCTCAATTCCGCGTAAGTAAGTGCAATAACTTCTACATGAAAGTTACTTAAAATCAGTTTGAGGCCTACAGTTTTTGTAGTGGTACTCACTATAAGAATAGAATTATTTATACCAAATGCTTGCATTTTTTATAAAAGCAAATAATCCATTGTTTTCAGAGTCATATCAAAATCAGGTTTTGTCACACGAAGCATCTCGTTTGCAGCTCTGGGTGCGTGTACAAAGTAAATTTTCGTCTTTTTTGATTTTTCAATAAAGCTCAAACTCTTCTTGTATGTTTCTGACTGACCTGAGGTCAATTTCACTTTTTGTTTGCTCCGGTTTTGTTAAATATCAACAGTTTTGTAAATGATTTTTCAGAGTAACAAATGATCATCTCGTTTCAACAAAAAACAAATCGGAATGAGCTTTAAACGTTACAGGGAATGAAGATAGCAATCGTATTTTATTGTCACCTCTCTTTGTAACTCTTCACTGAAAACTCTAATTTTTGCAAACAGGGTATTGGCGAACGCCAAGCCGCTGAGCAGTATAAGATTGATAAGAGCAAAGATTGATACATTAACTTTTCCTGGACTGCATGACGACGCGATTGGAGACTCTTAGTGATTTTGATAATTTTGTTTCATTTGTCTCGTCCAATTACATTCCTTCTCAGGACAAGAACAACACTTAGATCTTTTATAATTGTTTGAGTTGACGATTTATCAAGGGTAAAATGTTGTGTTTATATTGTCACTTACGAGAGCAGTAGCTTGTACTTGCGAACTAGACTTTTCGCCACCGTAAACAATTTGTCTTAACATTTGCTGCTCAATTTCAGGTGCTGCGCAGTCATGCTCAATTTCCCGAAAATCAATTTGAGGTAGTATTTTTTTAAAAAAAACTTGTTGAAAAATAATGATTTATGTTGATTTTCATTCTAATTTTTGTCGGCTGTTTTTCAGTTGTTTTTTCTTATGCCGTTTGCATTGTCTCGTTTGCGTTTCGAGTAGTTTCTTACCACGGCTTTATTTTTTTTTTGTTTCAAATAAATTGCGCCTTTTTCATTAAAATGTGACTCAAGAATTTTTTAAAACTATTTTTAGTGAGCAGCGATGTATCAAAAGGGGTACAAAAGTGACTGGTGTTACCCTTGAGATGTGTTTCACAAGACTATTGCGAATGATTCTATATCCTTTTTAGCCGTTAAAATTTATTTTCGCTGGAATTTTCTGACTCCTAACTGGGTACTGTCCTTTTTCAATGGACGTTCAAGAACAATCGAAATAGATTCCAAAACGGCAAATTTTTGGTCATGATATCCGCAACTTACCGGATTTTACTGAAAAGCATGTGAAAAGAGTCAGAACATGTTTCTAGAACAATTTTTCATAAGTCAAGCGGCGCCTATTGAAAAAATGGATCGAGTAGGTACGAGTTTTTTTTAGGTTTGGTTGTTCTAACCACTTCCGTTGGATAGTTTTTAAGTGAAATCAGGTCCCACAAATAACTGTGAGAATGGTGATAAAGCCCGCGATCTCAGTTTTTATTCGGAGTCCAAGATAAAATCAAAAAAATTGCCAAGAATAATTGTCTCATTGTCTAGAAAAGTTGGTATGAATTATTCGCTATTCAGAGTTAAACGCAGTGAAAGGAGATAAAGTTTTTTTTTAATTAGAGGGAAATTATCTTATAATTTTTCATTGGCTGTAATGCAGAATGATGAGCCTATCACATATGAGAGGTAATTACGTTCGAGCAATAACAACGACACATACATATGACGACACATACATCTAGATGGTTAATTAGTTTTTTTATTAAGTTATATTATAGTCTGCGCAATAATCATTCCACTATTTAAAAAACTCGCAAAAATCTTTTTAAGAGTATTTGAACGTTTTTGAAGATACTTATAGGGTCCTGTGGATTTTTTGACGTATGATTTTTGACATTTTCTTAAATTGAATTCAAGTTCACTTGCTAAAAGGAAGGCGAATCCTATTACGAAAGCCGAAGTGGGAAAAAATGTAAACGACTTGGAGTCCGTCAAGCTATAGCTTCCTTGCGTTCATTCACACTTTTTTAACTGTCTGTTTGCTATGTTTTTCATACTTTTGGCAATGATGGACTGACGTTAATGGGGATGTTTATTTGTTTCCCTCTCTAATTCGCTTCTTCTTTCTGAGTTTGTTCACAATGTGATACTTGTGTAGACATAAAGCGGCTATCTGTTTTTGACTTTTTTGGTTAAAAAATGGTTTTGTTACTACTTCGAGACACGTAATTCTGGCTGTTTAAGTGGAAGCGAAATTTTTAGCTAAATAGCGGATGACTTTCAAACGTTTTAGTTAAAATTTTTTCGGAAACCTTGAAGCCAAGTCAATCCCCTCGATCCTCGGAATCTCGCATCAGTAAAGGCGCTGTTTTCTCTATTTGCTTCGGCCGTTATCTACTGTTCTTTCGCTCTATTTGAGCTCAAAATTAATTGTGAAGAATCTTGAACCAGGCAAAATATAGTCAAACTTGTACGTAGAAATGTATTTGATCCCTAAATAAACAGATAAATTTTTGTATTTCAAAAATATCACAAATTAGCACTCCAATTTTAAAATTTGTAATCATTGCTGATTCTGATTGTGGAACATTTGAACTAAATTTATACTCAAGCGTCGGACATTAGAATCGAACGAACTAGAGCTCCTTCTGTCTGTCATAGAGCCAAACATGTTGAATGAGGCATGTTGGGGGTGCAAATGACTGATACCGTCTAAGGAATTTAAAGTTTCTTTGTCCATACTGGTTGTAGAAATTGCAGATATTCTCCGTCTCCCGTGGTAATTATGATGATTCTCGTTTTCGATGCTTTCAGAGCTAACTCCGCTCGACGATAGTCGCTCGTGGCTTTCCTGTCTGTTTTTGTTGCTTCGGAACGTAGAGGAAGCACTGTTTGGAATTCGCGTCGTAGCTGCCGACTCGCCTTCGTTTGAATTCTGACGCCCGTACACATTCTCTTGGGCACCTTTTCGTTGACCAATCACTCTGCGCACACCTCCTACTGAACTAGTATGAGCATATGAACTATGAGTTGCTGCTGCTAATTGTACTTTAGCCCTACCCTTGGGGTACACGTTGCGAGATTCTCTAGGGCCTCCGTTATCAGGCTCAACGGAAACATCTTCAAAATTTCGGTTTTGGAAAGCTAAGTGGACGTTTTCATTGGAATTGTCCCGAAAGTGGTCGTTGCAAATCACTTCATAGGTGGGAAATGTTGAGTAATCGTCATCGTCGTTTTCACTGTAATCTTCATCTCTCTCATCGTGTAAATTACCTTGCTCTAGTCTGTAAATATTGATTGATTTCTTTGGGTTGTATTCCATAATATGAGTTTCAAGGTCAAACGAACAGTTTCTGGTGGCTTTCAGAGGCAGAATAAGATGAGTTATTTCAGAATCTTTGCAACTTGTTATTGTTTTGTTGAGGTTGCAGTGGATGTCGTCGATTTTGGCTTTATACGGTTCTTCCTGGAACATTCCATCAAAGGCGCCCTGAGTGTCAACATTGGCGTTTGAATCGAATAGTACTTTCTGCTCGGATAGTTCGGATTCAATTCTGGCAGCCTCTTGGTTCTCTTGTTTTGCGTAGTATACAGCGGGTTTGTTGCGGCTGTATGGCTTTGGGATCGGGTTTTTCAGGTGACTTTTGATATTGTTTTTGTTGATGTGTTCTGGGATCTCTTTTAACTCATTTATGTCAAGGTATAAATCATCGCCCGTCTCCTTGAGGTTTGAAAACAGACAGCCCATTCTGCCAATAAAGCGAGGTGCTTCAAGATTCTCGTGTATCTCTAATTTTTGATCCTACGTTTGAGTGAGAAGTGCCGTTATAAATCGCAAAGCCTGTGTCGATTTCGAACTAAAGCATTTCCTCTTTCTTCAAAGGTGCTTCTTTTTTCCTCTACAGTTTCTTTCAATGTTCAGGTCCAATTTAGTCTTTAAGTATCATCAGAAGCTGACGGTTTCCTGCTTTTTATTGAAACTCTTCGCCCTATCCGCTCGTGGCATCTAAATAAAAAATGCATTCAATTCAGTAATGGCTGCAACTTAAAAGAAATAATTTTTTAGACACTACACTATTTACACGTAATTGGAGTCGGTCTAACTAAACCCACGTATTTGATTTCGTCTCTAATTCTTTTTTTTTCAATTTCATTATTTCCTCTACCTTTGTTTTTAGGCAGGAAGAAACCTCTACCTAATTGAGTAATGCAAACCAGTTTCATTATTGAAAGTTGCTGCTCTTGTTTCCATGTTGCACTTTTCGAGTAAATTTATATGCCTAATTGTTTTTGAATGCAGATACTTCCTGATTTTTATGTGGCTCTAACTCTCGAGTTTGTTGATAATTGGTAACGTTTGCTGTGGGGTGCGTTTACTGCGAGATTTTATTGATTTTTGATTCTGAGACTTTGATTGTAGTTTCCAGTATATTAGAGCTGAAAAAAATTGAGAGCTAGTCCATTATGAATTGTTTTAGTTAAAAGTAGCAAAGGGGAAATCAAAGAAATGGAGTTGAGAAGCGACCGTTTTCCATCTCATGTCCCATACACGAAGCATTATGCAACATAAGCTGGCGGTACGATTTTGAGTATTTCATAATTTTTATTATCCGCTCCTAAGAAGAAGCTTGTGAAAAGTTTTTGATTTGCGCAGAGATTTTTGTACCGAGTTAATTTTGGCCTATTACACTTTTGTACCTATTGAAACTGAATTTAGATCTTACCTGTCGATTGTTAACATTGACTTCCGATGTGTCAAAGGAAAGGAAAAGATCAGATGGGAAGATGCAACTAAATGCGAATTGTTATGTTGCTATTTTTAAGGTTGCTTGGTATACTAATTCTTACCGTTCTCGTGTTGTAAGGGGACTGTGGTTTTCTTTCAAGTTTAATATGTTATTTTTCGTAGGCTGATGATAATAGCAAACACAAATCTCCATCCAGATTTAATGCGTGAATCCAGAGAAGTTGGAAATGTGTGATTATGGTGCTGCTGCTAGGCATAAGCTCATCCCTTTTAAACAAATGGAGATAGAAGTCTCTAAATAGCTTTTTTTGAATAAATTATTGCAGTTAATCGAGTTTCGCGGGTAAAGTTGGAGCGTGAAAAACTGCTGGCTCCGAAGTTACCTTACCGCTTCTTGAAATTGAGACCGAAAAAGTGTGACTTAATACCGGGAATCAGATTGTCTTCTAGAACTTTTAATCCCGTTGGTACGTACACACCGAATATTAAAAATTGAACATTGCGAATCGTTGTTATATTGCGTGGTTGCGTTGTGCAGTAGCTCTTATACAATTGCATCGCGGCGGCGTTGGTAAGTTTGCAAGGGAAAGGCGGGAATAGAAAACGGAAGTGTAACGTTCCGCGAGCAGCGCCAATGCAGTAACAGGAATCTATCCATTGTAAAATTTCTTCACGCGCTCTGTACTTAAATTGGTCGCTTCCATTAATTCCTCATAAAGCTTTCCAACGCTACACGTCCGTTGGCTCTATGTTGTGGCGTTATAATATAAGCGCAATGGAAGCAGCACTGAAAATGAAATTGAGATAGGACTGGCAGGAATAATCCCCCTGTTTCAATCTCTTTTTGATTCGTTCTATAATACCGCTCAGAACACCTATGAAATGGCATGTTGGAAGCCTTTTTCAAACTAATTTGATCTTAAGCAGCTAAATCACGTGGCACTAGTATTCAAGGACAACTTTACTCAGCAGAAAACCCAAAGGAGTCAATATACGGCCCTAAATTCCCAAGGAATATAAATATCCCAGGAATCATAATACTCAATGTTGCTCGAATTTTAATCCAATTAATTGTTAAATCGTGTTTACTGGGTGTTAATGAACGAAATGAGTTTTCAGTTTTTTTGGCAACGATGTTTTTTTTACTATGAAAGGTTAATTTGTTCAACGAAAATGGAGCTTTTCTTTTCGAAAGGTGGGTATAGTTTAAAAACTAACAGAGGAAAAAATGACTTTGATCCAAACTTTTGAAACGGTTTTTTAAACTCCAACGCCTTGGCCATTTAAGTTGTTAAATGTCAATGAAAGAAATTTTTTATATGTTTCTTTAATAGTTTTTTTTGCTAATGATGTTCTGTATTGGCAAGTAATAACAAATTGATGTCAGTTACCTACTATAAGACGATGCTATTTTATAAAGAAAATCAGAAGCAAGTTATCTTTCCCCAAAATGGTATAGAGAGGGTGTTAACTGGTTTACCGATTTTGGTGAAATTCAACGGATCTGATTCCAGCTTTCGACAACAACTCATACATTCTCTGAGCTTTTTTAGTGTAGAACTCACGCTTTTTTTAGAATCCGAATCTGACTTTAAAGATGGTGAAACATAACAACAGAAACATATACTATGCATATTTTCACAGAGTTGTAGAAAGTTTGAAGAACGCTTCAAAACTGTACGTTCCATTTTGCCCACGCCACATAAAGGTGACCGGGCAACTTGCCACCGGAGTGACCTTTGACCTATAGACTGCTTTTTAAGCGGGACCTGTACTGAAGTTATGAGTTTGTTTTAATATATTCGAAAAATTGAATCATTGTAAATTTATAACTATCTAAATAAGTAATTAAAACAATTACACAAAAGCGTAACTACATGAACACACACCCGCACGCACGACCATGCGCGTTGGCTTCTGTTACCTACTCGTTTGCACTTACGTAATTCATTCACGTTCATACAGATTTTCACGTTTTAAGATATCAACTACATGTTAAGTGAAAATTATTACCTTTTTGAAAGCGTTAAAAATTACTAAAAACTATTTTCGTTCCATTGCCAGCCTAATTTTTAGCTTTACCTATTTTTTGCAGATTCAAACCAAGGCAAGGCGGCCATGGAAAGTTTTCTGATATTAAAAAAAATTGTGAAATTTGGGATCCGGTAAGTTGAATTTATCCGATTTTTTTTTGCGCACAGTGCTTCGAAAGGTCACTTTTGAAGATAGGACGATTTTTATACGAGGGAAACGACCAACATGCGAGCTATTCAGCTATTTTTTTTCTTTAATAGGATCAGAATGTTTTTAAAAACGGGATCGGGAGACGAAAACTCAACCCCCACCCGCCTCCCTCTCCCCCAATTGATGAAAGGCAGATTGTACAATGATTGTTTCATTCGTAAAAAGATAATGTAAAAATCCAGACCGTTTGTTGTTATTTTTTTAGGCAAAGGAGATACTTCGCAGTTGTAGCTTAAGTTCTTCAAAAAAACTGGTAACTTGAAGCAAGCGCTAGTAATTGAGGTTTTGCGGAAAAGATGAAGGAAGATCTAGAACCGAAAGTGGATGTTAGAACATAGTTACATAAAGCATCAACGCTGTATGGCAGTATGAAAGCAAAATTTCACTGTTCTTCATGAAAATGAAAGTATATGTTCATATCCTTGATTTTTTTTCTGTGAACATTTAAAAATTTAATCGAAATTATTTATTGAAATAACACAATTTTATCAGGCGATCCTTGTTCCTTCCATTTGACATACGACTAGAATCTCAAAACTGGCGTTATTTTAACAATTTAAATTGTCCAAAAATCAAAGAAATTGTTCTGAAGTAGTTATTAATCATCGAAAGTAGTTGAAATTCTCAATTGTCCAAAAATCAAATAAATTGTTCTAAAGTAGTTATTTATCATCTAAAGTAGTTCGAAATCATTTAATTTAGCAGTTCATGATACCCAAATTGTTTTTTATCTTACCGTTTTCTCTCAGCTTTGTTTAAACTCAAGGTTTTCCAGACTTGAATTTTTAAGTGTCAATGAACGACGTGAAGACATTTATTTAGGTCTAACGAAGTTCTTAGTTTTTTCACGGAAAATCTTAAAATTTATTCACGCTCAAAATTTCTGTTTTTTTGCGGCTTCGATTATTTCAAATGAATTTTCTGATTTTCTAAAAAGAATTCAAATAACAGTCACCAATTATGACAGCGCAAATCAAGCCAAAATTTGAATACCGCTTTTTTTAAACTTCCGGGCGGAATAACAAAATTATTCATTTTTCCAGTTTTCTCAAACTGGTTTAGTTATAACATAAAAACGTTTTTGAAATTCAAAGAAATTGAACGCTACAGATTTTTTTAAGGGTGCTTTGCGAATATTCATTCGCGTGCTTTCAGTAGTTTTCTGAAGAGTTGTCTCAGTCTGTTTTCTTAATTTTATTGACTTTTTCTTATTGTCTGATGGCTATGTTTGTTCTCTGTAATTTTCTGTAATTCGTTTTCCATGATTGTTCTGACAGCTTAAAATGGAGAGGGATATTTAAGTATGAATGAACGTAGTAAAGACACTTGATTGGGTCGAGTTGGTTTTTTAGAAAAAAATGTTACTTCAAATCTGTTTTTTTTTTTCAATTTGACTTTTGATTCCTTTCAAGCTCATTTCATGTTTTTTTCTTCTAAAAGGGTGTTAAATTACGCTTGCCAATTACCCAAGCGAAAATAGTGAGAAAATATTTGAACGAATTCTAGTTTCAAAGGTGGGTTCATCTGTTTTTGAAATTCGATTTGAAAAAAAAACGAATTTGATTTTTTTTCTTTATCTTTGCGTTCATTGGAGCTTTTCTAACTGTCTTTTGGCTATTGTTCAGACCATTGAAACTGGACAGGAACTTTTTCTTCGGGTGTGTTATAGTTCTTTTTCATGCAAGCTCAGGTATCAAAATTAATTATCGGAATAGGTCGAGTGATAGATACCTTTCATTGAAGTTCGAATGACTTCAAAAGAGAGTGATTTCAATTTGTTGTTAATTTAGTTTATTTGATTTTTGCAAGGTAATTTTTTTGTCTTCCAGGATTCTTTCAACGCTATCTCTAGGAATAAAAAACTTATCAAAAAAATTGAATTATTGTGAAACAGTTTTTTCAATAAACTTTTTTCAATTTTGGAAGAAAACGGGTCGTATTTGCATTATTTATTATTTCTTCTTTGATAAAAACAGGAGTTATCAAAAATTTCTTGTTTGATAAAAATAGGTCTCATGAAAAATTTATTGGGATCGGGTTTCTTATTTATTTTTTTGAGACACTTTGGAAAATTTTTTCACTTTTTCTAACACTTTTTCCCCTGTGCGCCTGCGTAATTCGCTAGGCTCTTTGTACTTATTCCCACCTTCTACAGCCTTCGAAAGTGTGTGGGGCGAATTGTTGACCAATAATTTTGGATTTGGATGTTACCTTGTATAAGGGGTTCTGTCCAATTTTTTTTACACAAGAAGTTATGACCCTCGGAAAAGTCAAGTTTTCGATTTTTCGACCTTTTTTAATATTTTGCTACTTTTCGCAAAAACTATCCTCCCAAATCTGAGATTTTAGGTTCAATAGGTTAATCGTGTTGTGTGAGTGTGAATCTCCCTTGAATACCAATTTGAGCCCTATTTCTTTACACGAAAGTTATGACACTCAGAAAAGTCACATTTTCGATTTTTGAACCGTTTTTGTAACTTTTTTGATTTTTCTCAAACCCTATTTCTTCAAATCTGAGATGTTGGGCTCAATGAGTAGAAAGGAATGTGAGAAACTCCCTTTGCTAAACGGTTTTGCCCAAATTTGTCGACACAAAAAATTATGGCCCTCAGAAAACTCAAATTTTTGATTTTTTGACCATTTTTTGAAACTTCTTAAATTTTCTCGAAAACTACCCTCCCAAATCTGAGTCTTTGGTTTCAATGGGTAGAACCGGTTATGGGAAATCCACTAAATAAGCAGTTGCGCACAATTTTTCTCACACAGTAAGTTATGACCCTCGGAGAAGTCAATGTTTTGATTTCTTGTCCGTTTTTGAACTTTTTGACTCCTCTCGAACAGGACTTAATCTGATGTAAAGTGTTTAATCGAGGCAACAGGTTGTGGGAAGCCTCCACGCATAAGATGCTACGCCCTAAAAGTTTTCCAATAAATTATGTCTCTGGGAAAGTTCCAAAGTCACAAAATTTTTACTCATGTTTTAATAGAGCAATAACTAGGTTTTGGGTGAAGCTCAATTTTTAAAGTTATGAAGTTACCCATTTCATCCCGAATCAGAACAATATGAAGTTACCCATTTCATCCCGAATCAGAACAACAAACTAAAAAATTGTCAATTAAGTACCTCCAGTTTTAGCTGGGCCTCTAGTACTATCGAAAATGTCAAAATTGTAGGCAGCGGTAACATCCATAATTTTGGATTTTGGATGTTACCTTGTATAAGGGGTTCTGTCCAATTTTTGTCAAACAAGTACCTCTAGTTTTAGCTGGACCTCCAGTACTATCGAAAGTGTCTAAATTGTAGGCAGCGGTAACATCCATAATTTTGGATTTTGGATGTTACCTTGTATAAGGGGTTCTGTCCAATTTTTTTTTACACAAGAAGTTATGACCCTCGGAAAAGTCAAGTTTTCGATATCTCGACCTTTTTTTAATATTTTGCTACTTTTCGCAAAAACTATCCTTCCAAATCTGAGATTTTAGGTTCAATAGGTTAATCGTGTTGTGTGAGTGTGAATCTCCCTTGAATACCAATTTGAGCCCTATTTCGTTACACGAAAGTTATGACACTCAGAAAAGTCACATTTTCGATTTTTGAACCGTTTTTGTAACTTTTTGATTTTTCTCAAACCCTATTTCTTCAAATCTGAGATGTTGGGCTCAATGAGTAGAAAGGAATG